CTGGTTGACTATACACAATGCATATCGGTTAATATGTAATTTAACTTAATAAAATTCAGAGGACCTCTCTTTATTATAACTGTGTAACCAAGTGCCTAAAATGAATAAAATCGGGTGAATGCTTCCCCTAGCCATGTACCAAATATACTGATTTCAAACTTTCGCTTGGCTTTATGACATATATTGTATAATATGTTAGTAAATATGTAAAATGTCTTGACGAAATAAATTAAAGGTATAACGTTAGATATGTTACACCTTAATTTTGAAAATGTGAAATTAAAATTACTTGAAAATATGTTCTCTAGTATACCTAACCAATGGCATAAACTAACGCAATTAGCTTACCCTTAGACCTTACCCTATATAGTAATTTCAACAAAACAATTTAGGTTGGTCAATGTATATGATATTTAAATAAAATTATAGCCGAATGTGAATGAAATTGGCCTAGATCTTGGTCTAAACCTCATAGCCCTAATATAATGATTATTTGGTTGACTTTATTTAGTTTGTTGTTATTTTTCAATTCAGAAATATATTGACAAAGTGGCAAAAAAAGTATTTGCGTAAAAATGTTATTGGGTGTTTAAATTAAGTACTGAATATTTTACGTCCATATTGTATAATTTCTATATTTTGAATAATGATGATTTTTGACATGTGGCAACTTTATTATGCACACTAAAAAATCGATATTATTGGTCCTTGAAACATCTCACAATTATTTTTACTTTTTAATTTTTTTCTTTTTTTTTAAAACATTAAGTGAGACCTTATACATACATATATGGGATTACTATACGTAACTTTAAAGCAAACCTCTCTTTTTTGTCTGCACCAGCATTTTGTCAGCTTAGTGTAGTTTTCGCTGGTTCTATACTTTTTCATCATTTTTTCTGTTTTATGCCTGTGCTTATGCTCTAACGGTAACACATAAAGTTATTTAAGGCTCATATTTATGAAAACCACAACAAGCTGATAAAGAAACTATATCAAAGTCTCTGCAATCTTAAAGAGGTTTATAATCGGATTCGGATATTTTCAATAATGAATTGTAATATTTTGAAAAGTTCTTTAAAACACTCGTATAATGCAATACTTGTAGGATGCCTCGCAAGGATCCACATTATTCAGCCGGTCCACTTAAAACCACACAGATATTAATTTTTAAATAGACTGTGATATTATACCTAGTAAAATTATGTGTCCCAATAACAATCTGCCACTATGTAAGTATTTGTTAATGGCAACAAATATTCACCAGCTACAATGAATTTTCAAGAATGCAGCGCACGTAGTACCGCAAACACAGATGCTTGCAACAAGCACTGAAACTTAATCGATTAAAGAGCCCGAACATTAGACCGGGCGTAGGCTTCGTAATGATAATCGACAAGCAGAGGTGGCAATACCACAAATATTTCTTAACCGTTACATGCGCCAAACGCCGGAAATAAGGAAGTAATGAATCGTGGAACTAAGAATGAGCACGCTTCTAAGGTTTAAAAAGGAGAGAGGAGTGGAAAAGAGTTGCAGTAGCGGAGAAAGGAAAATGTTGCTACTTCAGCTGTTGACTATGAGACAAACAGCAAGCTTCACGGCGTCCAATCGCCGCACTTTAACCTGTGCAGGCAACATTTCATGCGCGCAGGATGTTCCGGCAACGCATTAACAATCTTGTTGTAAATTAATTAAAAGACATAAACTAAAAATGCGTTGCGCTTTTCTCTTGTGCCACCGTGAAGCCTTAACTGCTAATAGTATAAGCTTATGCGCATTACGGTTATTAGCCGTTGCGTCATACCCACTGGAATGTGCTTACATAGCAGAAGAGGCTGCAGCAGAAATATAATAATGACTCGTGATTGGCAAAGATGACTTTTAAAACTTGTTAGTTTGTATTGAATTACCTTGTACATCAATTATTATTACTGGACTAAACAATGTTTTTAATTTCACTGGGCAGTTAGGCTGATTGCTACAAAATTTATCGGTCATTCAATTTTATCGGATGATTCTGTGATCAACTACATGGCAATGATTACATGACTATAATTAAGTTTGGAAAAAATGTATATTAATCCTTTGGAAGTTTACATAATCGATTTATGAATCCCTTTTTAATATTCTAGGATATGAACTCATTTTCTTTGGAAGTTTTGTTATTTTCAATGAGAGCCTTTTCTGCTTTTGGTATATTTATGCTTGCAGTGTACTTGTAAAATGGCAACGGTTCTATAATTCGCCAATTAACGAGAACGCGCTTCAGGCATGTGGTTTTCAATACCATAGTGGTCGAAAATCAATCAAATGGGCTACTCTTTCAATATGGGGAAAAAGGTCTCATTCCGTTTTTGTTTTTTCACGTATTTGCTATAATCATCGTACTCTGCAATGTTGAAAGTCTGATTTCTTGTAAAAACTAAAGGAGAATAGCTCAAATTCACAGGCTGACTATGTTAGCTCTTGATAGCCTGTGAACGTAAACATATCAATTTGACATAGAAAGGTTCGTTGGACAGAAATTTAGGAAATTTTCCTCAAGAGTAAAGTTGTAATCATTACTATACACCAATAAATATTGTAATTTTGAATTTTATTAATATCCCACTCAAATATTTCTTATCAATTAACCAAGTCAAATTGATTAAATTAACACGCACATACAAGAAGTTATTGGCGTGTGAAACTACAACTCAACATTTTTAATAATTTTATTATTTTTTTGGTAATTTGGAAAAGCTAGCGGACCACACAACATGAAGTGCAAAACACTGGCGACAGAAATCGGCTCAAAAACACCTCAAACTTATAACTTCATATGCAGACAGTGTACGTTGGGGGCAGTTGACACTTGCATGAAATGCGCATAAAATCATAAATATGCATACGAAATGCGCTTAATTCACGAGTGGCCTGCCACTGGTTTTTCACGCTGCGCATGCGCACATACACAGGCGGCGCAGTGGGTCGTTGTCGCGCCTAATGAGGTAATTCTATTGATTTTGTGGCACGCTTGCGATTTGCGAAATTTGCGTGTGATTATGTAATATAAATGTACATATACATATATGGATATGCGAATATATAGGGAAATCAGCTAACTGCTTGTCCGCTTTGGAAAATGTTCTGCAATTAATTTGCTGAATGCAGGTATTAATCTAAACATTGAAATATTTTTACACAATTACCAGCGGTATTTCACAAACACACACACACACTCACATGCATGTCGTTAAATAAATAACCATTAACCGTTGTTAGTGTTTAAAACTCGCTGCGCTTTGCTTGCCAGATTTTTGTCTCCTTGTCGATTTGTGTGATTTTAAATTGCCACAAAGCCGCATAAATTCTTGCATTGCGTTAGTTTTATTTTTATAACCGTTGCTGTTTTGTTGTTGTTATTACTACGCATGCTGCCACAGCGTATTTTGCGTAGGCAGGACACACAGCCGCCAATCGCATTTAATATTCATGCAAAATGGTGCAAAGCAAATACAAAAAACAAATGAAATAAATTAAAATATACAAATATTAAAAGAAACTAAATAGAAAAAACGAT